ATTATTATTATCATTATCACCATTAATTTATTATTATTATTAATTGTTAATTATTAACTATTAACTATTAGTTATTATTATTATAGACAGGCAGTACGTCTATAATTCATTATTCAATTATTCTTTTAAAAAATATTAATTTGGACATTAAGCATTTTCCACGATGTTTAATGTCCAAATTAATATCTTCTTGAGTGATGTCCGATGAATTTAGCTTCGTTGAATAATTCTCTGAAGTTTTGAAGGAAGGAAAAGGTGTAACAAAACCTCTAATTAATGTACAACTTTTATATTTGTAGCTTCAATAAAAGACTTACAGATTTAGTTTATGTTATTTTATGCGAAGTTCACTGCGACATTTTATCTAGAAAAAGTAAAAAACTATGAGAGCAAAATAAACATATGTTTATGAGGGCGAATTTTCAGATATTCCATTGGCAAATATACCATTATTTCTCGAATTTTCCTTCAATTAATTTCTTAATTTTTATTGAATTCCATTTGTTTCTTCAATCACTTTCAAATTTATCTGTTACAAAAGTTAACAGCAATTAATAATAGTTTCCATAAATGGTTGTTTTGAATGTGACTAAAATAAAATCAAATAAACTGACATCTTTCCCATTCATGAAACTACCAGCTTGTTTATTTATTTATTTTTCTTTGTTTAATTAATATGCATCTGTTTTGCAAGTTTGCTTTTCAGCAGGTGCACCTATTGATCCGTTTCATTTCCTATATGGTGTTATTCTTCTTGTTCATGAATAGAATCTGTTGAAGCAATCTAGAAACTAAGCTAAGCTAAGCTAATTAAATGCATTATTCGTCAAATTTTTGCTAAGTTTAATTTACACTTTTGTATAATTATTATCATCATTTATTCAGCTTACCATTAAATGAATTTTGTGCATGTGCAATTAATTTTCTGTTTATCTTTATGCATATTGATTTTTCTTATTATATCATTTTAATTTTTGTCTTTTTGTCGAAAAAATAAAATAATGTGCAGAGGGGGATGATGAGATAATGCATTTTCTAGCTTATCACAGAATAAGTACTTTGAAATAATAATAATGATGATATTAAATGGTTATTTTGATCTTTATTTGGAACCAAGTTTAAATAAAAAAGCTTATAAAATAGAAGACTAAATTTTCATATAAAGCTTTTTTTTCCTTTTTTTTTGTTTAGTCTTTCAGGTTTTTTTGTTCCATTATCTTGATTTGAGATTCCTTTTACCTTTCACAGTCTTGTAATTTCATTTATGGTCAAAAATGTGAATATTAAAGGAATTTATTTCTTGCAAGTAAAAGCTCGTCATCATTAAATGTGACTATTGATTTGTGTTTTTTCTTCTAATTCTTTTGAGCATCATACTGGAAGAGTATTAAATGAACCATTAGTTTCAGGATTTAAAATTTAATGAATTAGTGGAATAAAAATATTCAGGTCGTTCGATTTTATTGCTCCTTTATTTGTCTTCCTGAGAAGCTGGATTTTAAATTGTGAAAGAATCCAATGGCTGAGAATTAGAAATACGATAACTGAAACTTAAGTAGCATCAGTTTCTGAATCGTATTTAAGGATATCAATGAAATGATAAAGGTTTGAAAATAGCAATTATGTTGTTGGATTCTGTTCAAAACTGCTGAGTTTTATTCGTTATTGTTATCTGCTTATAAGGCTTATCAGTAATAGCCAAGTAGATAAGTCATAGCTGTTTGATGACAAATGAACGAATGATGTTATATCAAGTCGTTTAATTTTTCATGAATTCTTTTGATGAGCCTTTCCGTAGAATCAAAATATCGTTTTTCGTTGCTTCTATTTGGGGATTTGAAGTGTTACAAATTCCGCAGCGTGATTTACTTTTGTAAATGTCCACTTCATTTCTTTCATCTACAACTGGGAATGATACTGTCATATCTCATCTTTGAATTTTCCCCGTATAGGAAATATCTTTCGTTCATTTGTTAATGAGTAAAGAGACTTTGTATATGTTTGAAGAAGAGAAGTACAGATTCAACGATATCTCTTCGACTGTTAGGTTTTAGTAAGTGGAGTGAAAAGCATAACAGCTAGCAAAAATGAATTAAGAGGTTAGTGATTCAGCGAGTTACAATAAATGTACTTTTTCTAAGCTGGTCTGAGGTACAGCGGGATTGGTAACGGTCATTATTTTGAAAATCTCATTGTTGCAAATATGGGATGTTGTCATCGAATCGTTTGTCAGATTGATTGATGATTTCCTTCGGTCTTTCTGATATGCATTATTCGTGGGATATATATATATATATATATATATTGCTTAGAGTATTATCGTTAAGTTTCGATTTCGTTGGAAAAATTTTCTCAAAACGATTCATATGGGCGGATACTATTCTTTTGTTTTACAATTTGCTATTATTTTCAATGGTTGTCATCGTTTGTATCTTCTGATTGATTCTCTTCCTTATATGTTTCTAAAAGTTACTTTCTAGATGCTAACTATGGTAAGTAATTACTTGTCAAATCACGTTTTCTAAAAAAAAAAAATTTTCTACGGTAACGACATCAAGTGATGTCACTTCATTTAAAATCATAGAAAATGTAAAATTTTTAAACAATCGTATTTAAAAGGTATTATAAGAAAAGTAATAAACTTCCCTCATGATCAATAACGAGAAAGTTTTATTCATATACAAGTAAAGTGATGATGTAGGAATAATTTACTTGAGAGGGAACTTCAATTTTGTTTCATACGGTAAGATTAGGATTAATAGTTAGCGGCACTTTTTTTTTCTTTTTTTCCCAAAGAGATGTGGGAGCTATTACCATATTGAGTTGATCTCTAGCAATTATTATGTTGGATGATGACAGCAGTAAGGGATATGCAAAAATAATATGATTCATTGTCAACATATATTTTTCCCAAATATTCATTATTCATCGAATATTAATAGAATAATCAGTAAGCTAGTTATAATGATAATAGAATAAAAATGTATAGATAAATGAATTAAGGTATAAATGCGCTTCTTTTTTTTTCAAATATCATAAAAGTTAAGCACTTTCATTTATTTCTCTTTCGAAGAAGTAATATTTATTGAGTTGGACGAAATTATGGATGATATTCGCAAATCTTAAAGTTTATATTTCTGTTATATATATATATATATATATACTAGATAATATTACTCTTGTGTATGTTTTATTAGTTCGTGGATTTTTTTTTTTTAGTTATTAAATGTATATGTGAAAGTATAGATGGCATTCTTCCTCTTTTTCTCTTCATCTGCATTCCATCTTTTAAAACTTCTCAAATTTATTTTAAATTTTGATTAAATAGAGAGGGTAGAACTTTAATGTTTTGCATGCTGCGAGCAAGTATTGCATACTTTTGCACTTTGATGCGACCACGATCATTATACCTCTTTGCATTCTTGGTCCTATAGGAAGCATTGCAATTTTCCTTCTGAAATTCAGTATATTGTAAAAGTTGCTAAATTATGATAGATTTATAGATTGTTTGTTTAGAATTTGTGCCATGTGATACAAAAAGTGCGGAATACTTATGTTTAACTTAGAATATCATATGCTGGAAATTACTGAGCTTTTTTTTTTTTGCTTTTTTCTTTTTTTGTTTTTAGAAGGAAGGGAGAAAAAGTTGTGACAACAACTAGAATGATATGTGTTATGTGGTCATGTCATTTGATTAAAGAATGCTGCTAAAATGACATTCACTCGAGAAGTGAACTGTAATAATGGAATTCGAAAAAAAAAAAAGTTGGAAATGTGTTCTGTTCTTCCATTTCTGTGTGTGTAATGCTGTGTAGGGTAGATATTGAAGTCTTTTTTTTTCTTTTGCTTTTTCAGTAAGATCCCTTTTAACTAGATGCTTTAGGAAATGTAAAATTCAGGAGGACTGAAATCTACATTGAGGCATTTTAAAAACTTCAAAAGTAAAATTTTCACTTACCTGCATATGTTTTTGTCATACTTATATGATTTACGCATGCATATATGTCTGCTATACCACCAGTTATTCATTATAAAAGTCTTATCCAAAGTTAAGGAGTCTCATATTTCATGAGATTTTTTAATTTAAAAAAAAAAGACCCACAGATACATGTATGCATACACATACATAAGTACATATATATATATACATACACATACACATATATATACATACGTACACATAATACATACATCAGTCTCGATTTGTTGCATCCTGTATTTGTTAGTTTCCTTGCAGTAGAGAAAATAACTTCATCTCATTTCGTTCCAATCATTTCATTTTATTTTTTTTTTCTCTTCATCCGTTGCACTCATTTTTCTCTTTCATTTATCTCTTCCAGGGATAAAATGAGGAACTTTAATTTATTATCATTTCCTTGTTTTTTTCTTTTTTTTTCTGTCTACATTGGCTACAATTTTGTATCTTAGCTTTACTTTATCAATTTCATTTCTTTTTTCCTTTTTTCCCTTTTTTTTTGGAATATTTTTGTGCACAAATCATTGGAGATATTGATGTATAGAGTAATGATTTTTGACCGATAGTTCACAAAAAACAAAATATAATCTCGTAAGAGCGATGATGCGATGAGTGGAAAAGTAGATGAAGGTTGCCGTAATTAATTTTTTGTTAAATTAATATATTGAAAATTTTGATTAAAGTTATTTTGAAATTAACAGAATTGACTATTTTTGAACCTTACATATTCTTGCTACAAATAAAAAACCCAAAGTGACCAAACTGACCAAAGTGGTCAGTGCTTAGGGAAAGATTTGGAAAACCATTAAGTGTAGAGAATACGAGAAGATATTGTTATTAGATGAAGACTGAAAGTTCAATCTTCTCCTCTAGCAACTAGAAATTTCTGTCAATATCGATGTATCCATCCATTTCGGGGGGATATTTTCTCTTGCTTAGTAATGTAGCTGTAAAAATTGTTTGAATGATTTAATTAAATAGTATTGCATATTCGATGCAAGCATATAACATGAACTATAATAAATATGAAAGATCTGTGTGTTTAAATGATATGGTCAACCTAAATTTTGAAAATGAACTGTTTAAATCATTAATTTGATTTATTAATTTATTCTTTCAATCTTAATGATACTTTTTTTTTCTTGTTCAGGGTATATGGGTAATTTATCACCTGAAGAGATACTAAAGCGGATCGAAGGTGAGAATAAAGGCAAAGCGAAAGGAAATCAAAAGAATGGAACGAATGGGTCTAAGGTTTTTTTTGTTTTTTTTTGCTTTCAAATGAAATCTTTTTTGGATATTTTCAAAACCGAAAATAATCGTAGACTTTTTTTGGGGAGGAGTTTTTCAGAGAGGACTTGATTGTTTTGCAGCGCATACCCAACCAATCCATATCTTGATAGGTCAGAGGGTAGGATGCTGCTGAGGTCAACGTATTGTCCATTCAGACCTGTAATGATGGCAAACGATCACTAATCGTTGTACTGCTATGAGGTAATTGTTGTGAAGTACCACATAATGGGTACATTTCAAATCTGCCCACCATATCTCTCTTTCTTTCCTTCCCTCCATTTCCGTTTTCTTTTTTTCCCTTTTCTCTTACTTTATTTTCGCCGAATTTCCTCCATCTTTTTCGGCTTCTGCTATTTTCATTATCTAGGTACCATTACCCTATCGGTGGTACTACCTGTTCGGAATGCGCAGCTGCTTTTCTGCAAATTGATCGAATACCTTTTTACTAGTAGTGTTAGTACTATATTACTACTACTACTACTACTACTCATGTTAGCGATAATATCAGATCGATATTCTCAAGATTTATAGATATTCTCTTTTTCTACTATTGTTGCACTTATCAGTAACATTAATAGCTGTTGTTAATAGTAATTGTATCCAACTATTCTAAATTATCATTACTGCGATAGATATGAAAATGTTGTAACCGCGTTGAATTTGGCATGGAAAGATTTACTGGTATTTGTCATAGATTATCTGATAATATCTGCATAAGCTATAGAAAATCATTTCTTCTCTTTCTTCCAGGATCACTCATCTGTTTTAGCGAACGGTGCTAAAAATAGTGGCGGTCGTAAAAAGGGCGACAAAAAAGATCGTCAAACAGATAAGGTTGCAAAAATTTTACTTTTTTCTTTTGATCCAAGTTAATTTAACAAAGAGAAGAAGGGATGCTAGAATCTACCTGTAAAATTATTTCTTTTTAAATTTGTTTTATTATCTGGCAAATTTTTGATTATTCATCGTGTACTTGTTTGATTATTCTTTTATTGCTACCAATAGAATGACCTGATTTTGAAGAAATGGATTGTTTTAAAAGGCTTGAATATTTCTAATGAAAACATTTTACTTTTCTGCTTTCACTGAAAACAACATGTACAGGTTAAAGTTTCATTGTGATTAGATGAAACTTTTGACATATTGCTTCCGGTTAATCTTTTGCCAAACATGACGTTTTTGGTATGTTCTATTTTAACAGGCTGCAAAACGTTCTGTCATCATCGGTAGAGAGGTAGTTGAACTGTCAACCAATATGGAAACATCAAATGTTGAAAAGGCGCAAGTGGTTATTGTAGATGAGGAAAATAAGCATGATTCATCGATAACAGGAACGAGAACATCGAAGGTATCTTCTCTTGCTTTAGTTACATCTTAGCTATATACTGTACTAGATATTAGGTTCCATGGAATGAGGTATAAAATAAACAAAAAAAAAAGCAGGATAAAAATTGAAAGAACGGAAAACTAAAAGTGGGATTGATTGTCTTTATGAAATGATAAAGAATTCATGTGTTAAATATTAAGAGTGCAAATAATTCAGCGAAAACTGTTCGTAAGACTTTTATCCCTGATTGTTAGTACATAGTAAATAATACAAGGTTTGATCGGAAAAAGAATCTATGTTTGCGAATGTTCTAAGTTGGTGTTTTGTAGACGGAAGTCGTAACGTCATCCCTACAAAGTGATAAGGTTGAAGAAGTTGGAAGTGGTGCTACGACCACAACGAAAGGCACGGTTGATGAAGGTGTCGATGATGAGGAGCAATATTTAAGTGCTGACGAAGGCGCCAATTCCAATTTCTCCGACGATATTGTTTGTTTTTTAGATTAATTATGATGTAAGTAAAAATATAGATTAGGAAGCGTTTTGCACCATGAAATTACATATCATTATCTTCCGACTGAAGATTTATAACAGGTTATTGTAGCTACTTTGAGAAAGGATACTTTGGTAATTGGTCTTGAGATTTAAAATGGTTTACATTGGCCTTAATAGAACTGTTATAGTTTCTTGGTGTTACGATATAAAATAAGTATATTTTTAGAAAACTGAGTTGCAGTATCATACGGATGAACAATCCGGTGCTTCTGGTTCACGTGACTTCATAAGTGATGGCGCCAACTATCGTGCTGATGATGAAGAAATAAATCCTTTACCAGTAACATCCGAAGAATCCGAATTTATCCAAGTTATTGCTAGGAATAAGAGGAGAGGTGCTGCTGCTCAGATTCAGCATCAACAACAAACTGCATTGTCGGGAATGGATAGGAGGAATGTATACTTCAATAGGTACGGTAACGATATGAGGTTTGTCTACAGCTTGAGGTTTGCTATGAAAGAAAGATCCAGTAAATTTTGACCTTTTTATCAGTGGGATATAATCCAATTTTTAAAAAAAAAGTTTAATAAATGGAATTCATTAAAAGTTGGAATAAAAATATTATCCATTTATTTGCAGCATGATAGATCGAGGTGCTAGAACAAATGTAAGGCGTGATGCAGATAGACCCCGACAAAGTTCGGTACAACCGCCACCGGATAATCGTCGAAACCAGCCATCTTCACGTGGAAATACTTCTCCATCACCAGTTGATTATGAGGTTTGTCTGTGCTTGTTCATTCTCTTCAAAATTGACTTTTGTGTGAGTCAGTGCAGCATGATACTGAATCGCTGCGATCCACATCGACATTTTGGAAGTGGTCGATAACGAAGAAGAAATGTATGGTACACAAAAAATTAAATTATATGGACTTTGTGTTCGTGACCTTTTTTTCTAATTTTATTTAACTTTCAGAGTTTTCAAAAATATTCGGCTCCTCCACGACTTCGGATGTTAATTTCAGAAATTATTGATAATACTCTTATGAAAGCACAAGAGAACAAGGTTTGTCAGATCTGGCTGACTGATCGACATGGCTTGACCGATGGAGTGTCTGAACTGTTTTGAGTTTTGTGATAGTTATTATGAACATATAAGAAGCAAATATTTTCTCCACCATAAACCTGTTTGTTTGATACTGTGCCATCTTTAAAACCGGTTGGGAATTTGCATCGTCAAGCTTATGTGAGATGAGTGAAGTCTCCGTTTTAGGGTAGTAGCAGAAAAGGTCAAGCTGTCGGTAGTAGTGGTAGTGGTCATCCACAGCAGCAACGGCAACAGGAGCATTCTAAATTTGCTACCTCAATATCTATGAGCAAGAAGGCGAAATATGGATTACCATCTTCCCTTCAAACAAGTCGTAGAGCATCACCTGATCGTCGTGGCAGTCAACCATTGACTTTGAAATATTCTGTTGCTGCTGGAAGCGTAAGTTGTTTCCAACTTTTTTGCACTCGAAAATTTGTCAAAACAACGACATTTTTGTATTTTTTCTAATGAATTTAGACTATTTTTCGGTGCTATGAATCATTTGTTGTTTCTGTTGTTCGATTTTCATATTTATTTAACATATAAAGACCATTCGATAAAACACTTTATTGCTTATTTCCTTCAATCTGACATTCCCTTGAATAATTGATTTTCGAAAATCTTAGTTGCAGAGTGGCTCTTCACCGGCTGTTGTATCTCTTTCGGAAGGGGTATCAGATGCGAAACGCAAAATACCGGAACAACATCTTAGCACTGTTACTGTTGCTAATACAAAAGCTCCAGGTTTGTAACTTCGAACATAACTTCGGAAACACTTCGAACAGAACAAGTAGCATATTTTATTGAAATTTTTCACAGTATTTTTTTTTTATTGGCAGTATGGATGTGGACCTATTAAAATGGTTAGTTTTATTTTTTTTCTTTTTTATTTTCTCATAAATCGATTAATGATATTTCTTTCATGAGCTTTCTTCAGCTCAACGATCTTGGGCAGATATTGCTAAACAGCGATTGTATGATAATACTGAAACACGTCCAAATGAAGCAACTTTTGCATCGTCGGATATTCGTGCATCGATTAAAGAAGAACGTACTGTTAGTGGAACATCCATTTCTGGTGAGTATGTGTAACATATTATGTTTGATATGACGGTTTTGAAAGTGCTTGACAATTCTCGAGTTTCTCTTCTTGCTCATGGAATGTATTGAAAGCTGTCAAGTTTCATATTTATTAGGTAATGTTGAAAGTGAGAAAAAGCCAGAACATAATGACCAAAAACGAACAGTAAATGTGGAAACGGTAAGCAGCGAACCAACAGTGAAAGATTATTCATTCTTCTTTGATCCAAATGAACCAACTGGAACTGTGTCGAAAGGTAGAGTTGGTTTTGTTGGTTGTATGAAAGTGGTAACAATGGAACTTCATGACAGGAACAGCTTATACTAATTTCATAAATTTATTTCAAAAGTAGCATATGTTCATCTTTCAGAATCAGAACCGAAAAATTCCAAAATCGTGCCAAAGGAAACTGATAAAGATTCGAAATCTTCCAAGGTAAGAACTTTATATGAAATTTGAAATTTCAAACTTTTTGCTCGTATACTAAGAAGACTTAGACTTGTATAAGTCACAATATAACTAAATTTGTCGAGCAGTCGCGATACAGAAAATATTCATGTATTGCAGTGGTAGGTAGTTGTCCCAAATGTGGCTGATTAAAGCTATGGGATCGTAGAACTACCATTGATGCTTATGGAAAATATGATTACAGCCTCGATGTACCGGGATGGTACTCAATTTGGATGGAGGTCGTCAAGTTGTTATTCAGGAAAGTGATGTAGTAGCTGCAGGTCCACCAACTATTGTCGATATAAGGCAGCGACCTGAAGTAGAAACAGCGATTACGATGTGGAGATATTTTATGGATAATCCAACTGGTTGGTTCATTCATGTTTATCTCCAGCAGTTTAATGTGAATGAATGCTACTGTGTTTAGACAATGGAAATTTAAGTCAATCATATTTTTACATTTCCCCCAGAAATCTGAGTTAAGATTTTCTGTCATTTATACTTTTTTTTTTTTAGAAATAGTAACGTACCGAGAATATAAAAGACAAAGGGAGAAGTCAGAGATGCGAAATCGAACATCTAAAGAAGAACAAAAGAAGGGAGACATGGCAAAAGGAGATAAAGGAGGGGAAGAAGAATCAAAATGAACGGTATTATTTGGTATCAGCAGGATCAATCTCTCTCCTTTCCGTATTGTTGTTATTGTCATTGTATTACTTTCCTGAAGAGATTAGTTCACATCTTCCTTATATTTTCCATTGTTTCATTTGTATTAACTTCGTCATAGTATCTTAGTTCTTTCTCGTTCAATTCAACTGTTTAGTGACGTGGATTTCGAATGTGAAATGGGAGGGATGCTGGAGTAATTTAGAATTGATCAACTAGTTTATTGATGAAATTCTGGATCAATTAATTTATCGAACTATTTGATGATCGTTAGTTTACCGAACAAACTGCGATTAAATTTTATAGTGAGCTAGCGATCGTCAAATATTTACAGAAATAGCTATATGGGTCAATTGATTTGTTAAAGTATTTCTAGAATGCCGATAATGTGGAAATAGATTTGTTGAATAGATAACTCCGTAAAAGGAAAAAAAATGGTTAACTTCTCAGAAACCTATTTTGGAGTGAAAAAATTATGATCATGCAATCCGGAATAAGTATAAAAATTGATTGATTCATTTTTAAAATCGTAATTTTTGCTAAAGTTGGAAGTAACATGTCCAAAGAAATAGCATCTTATAAAATCAAGGTATTTATTATATACGGGCTTTCAGCATTATTTATTTGGTAAGAAAAGCGCAAAAGATGAGCAAAACAAATTACTTGTCAGTATGAGAATTCCCATGGTATGTGTATATTTTAACACTTAAAATATTTAGTAATGAGATATAGATGCCTTAACCAGTTTTAGTTATTTATTAATTGAAATTTCAAATCTTTAAATTTCTTGCTGGTATTAATTTTCTTTATTCTTGAATACTAAAATAGGATACGCGCTCCTTTTTTTTTTCTCCTTTTTTTTCACTTTGTAAGAGAAATTGCTCATCTTATCTATTGCGCGGCCCGGTTTGTATTCAATGTTTTATTCCTACTTCATTTTCCTTTTCAGCTTAGGAATGATTTTTTAGGAGGTAGTTAAAGTTTATATCTTACAAAGTGTTATATCTTACAAAGTTTATATCTTACATCATATAAGATTAGCTAATGGTTGAGATCGGAGAGGAATTAATGATCAATTTTTGAAAATGCAACATTTAAATGGAAATGAAAAAAATGGTATACTCCGGATTAGATGACCATTATTGATTTGAAATGAATTAATTTTGGATTAAATGTAATAATTGGAAAGATAAAAAGAAAATGAATTTTCCTGTAACCATTTATTGGTTTTTTTCTTGAAGTTATCTTTGTTACCCTATTTTAAGATTCGTTCAGTCTTTTTTTAATTTCGAATTGCTCAAATTGTAGAGAAAGATATGTTCCTTCTTTTCTTTTTTTTCTTATTGCTTTTTTAAAGCTGAAACATTGTTTTTTTTTCCTTTTATCATTATATATGTTATTTTGATGAATTGGTGGGACAGAAATTGTAAGCACTGTTGATATTCTTCCCTTTTTTTTTCCTCTTCTATTTTCATTTCAAATTATGCGTTTTTAGTTAGTTTTAATTATTAGCAATTATGAGCATAACTT